GGGATTTCTATTTCGTTGAAATAGATTGCAGACGTCTCTGGAAAAGAGTTTGGAGAAACTTGATGGGTAGTTTCTAAGAAAGGACTGGCATTGTCTGTGTGAACACTGCAAGGAGCTAGTGGTGGAATATGAGGTGGTGGCTCTCCAAAAAAGTACAAAAAGTGTATTTCATAATAAAAGCCAAGTTTATGGGATAACAATTATATAGGCTTTATAAAGATGTGAAGAAAAAATAGTATTCCTATATTCCTAAAAATTTTTTTTGAAATTGTTTGTCATTTAGCTTAATAGTACCTGCCCCGAACGTATACATTTATAAAAATTCAAATTTCGGTTCTACTTATATCAGAATTCGGTACTTGTATTTTTATATATCTCTTTTTTTTGGTACTTGCATTTTTCTGTATGTGTCCATGCGTTATATGCCAGATGAAATAAACACAGCTACTCCCATAAGTATATCCAAAGTAACACGATGTAATGAAATCTATACTTTTGATCCAATCGCTTAGGTATTAGTATATCAGGTTTATGCATAAATTTCCAATTTATATAGCGCCATAAGAATGGTGTTATTGTTTAAGGTTGCGTTTGTTTCTGTGAGGTGATTTCCTTCCCTTATCACATATTCACAATGGATTAAAATGACTTTCAGGATCTATTGTGGACATAGCCAATTCTTTCAATTTAGTTTTAACTTTAAAATTATGCAATTATACCTTTAACGTAACATACCATAATTTATCCATTAATGAAGAGCGATTTAAAAAAATTGAGAAACAATTAAATTACCTCGGCCTTTCCTTCACTGACATTCGCTTTCATCCTTGACGAGACTGCATAACAACGTTACTACGCAAAATTTTTACTGAATGAACTTAAAGTAAATACGAGAAAATAAAATATAAAAAAAAATGGCTGCACTTCTCCTTGAAAAGGAAGCACACAACGTTCAAGTAGTTAATGAGTAACTTTTTAATGAATCAGTAAATAAGGTTTGGTATTCCATATTTTTGCTTATTTTGTATAATGTTGAAAACTTCGCTTTAATAAAGTTTTAAACGAAATTGTAGTGACGTCACAATTCAACATAAACTATATAACTTAAGCAGTTCATTTTTATTGTCAATGCATAAAATCCTTTGTTGGTGGCATGCATAAATAGTTTTTTTTTTATTTTTTTGTTTTTTTTTTTGAAAGTTCATAGCTTAAATAATCAAAAGTTTACATAAATAGGTCAACTATTTACTAATACAAATGTAGCTAACATAGCTACAACAACAACAATAAGAGGTTCTAGCAAAATGAAAGCTATCGCAGTCATGCGGCATGTCGGGTGACGTCACAAAGGCATTTAAACTATAAAACGTTGTTGCTTGCAAACACACTGACCTATATAAAAGCTGTTGCAATTTTATGCTGCAGCTGTTGGCGAGCATATACACACTCACACATATATATATCTCTATAATGTATAATACATATATATATGCAGTGAGTATATAATATTGTGTATACATAAAACTGTCCGTAAAGGTGCATCAATGAAATTTATCTGCACAGTGCAAACTGACTATAAACGTCAGTCAATTTGTGGAGGACGCTAGATGAGGGGTGGGTATGTTTGCAACAGTTCACGATATAAGTAGTGTGGGTATGACAAGCACAATTGTTCAACACCACAACACATTGGCGTCTGTTTGGTGTGAAGAGCGGTAAAAATATGCATAAAAGTTTGATTTATATGGGTATAGCATTGCTTGTGAGTGTGTATGTGTTGATGTTTATGTATGCATTGATTACTGTTGCTGTAGCTATAAATAGTGTTGTACTTGGTCTAATGCTATTATTGTTTTTATTGTTTAAATCGAAGCAATGAACTTTTCATTGATCAGCGGCTACAAACAAATCAACGCACTCACACACTTGCAAACACAACAACAATGCACACATACAGAATTATGCTACTTGACATATATGTATTATATATCAATACATTTATATATATGCATTTTTTTAACATATGTTTCTACACACATATGTACGTACATACATTTTTATATGTACACTTGTAGGCAAATTTGCTCCTGTTTTTAGTACATTTTCGGTTTCCGTGCACTTGTGGCTGACGTCATTTGATAAAATTGTGTTTCATTGAAGTTTTCGTTTCCGAAGTTGCACTGCATTGACAAGTAAAAATGGCAGCATAAATACAATTGTTACAAAACGAAATTATGTCTATAAATAATTTTTTGCATCTTTTTTGTTTTTGAATTTTCTCAGTGTATTGCAGGCATGCATGTGCATGTCGTGTGTTGCCATCTTGTTTCATCCTTGAATGTTTCAATTGTAACAGTTAAAGTGTGACAGTTCGTACGTTTCTTGACACAAGTCATGGTTCGTGTAAATTTTTGTTAAGAATTTTTTATAAATATAAGAAAATAGTTTCACACAAAGAAACAATAAAGTTACTTAGGAAAGTTAAATTTATATTTTAAATATTTATTTATATGCAACTTATTACACATTCGAACATACAAATCAACATATTCAGTTCCAGGACCTTCCTCTAAAACTTATTTTAAGAATTGCCAAAAGTTCAAGGCGGTTTTTAAACCTTTGAGTTCTTCTACGGTAATACAGTGAGCCAATACCGGCGTTCCTAAGGTTCCACTTAAAGTTAGGATTACCGGTAAAACATAACCTAACATACAATTATACCAAACAATCTATTAAAAGATATTCATTTATAAATTTGTTAACAAATTGTGTTTAAAGTAATCATTTTATATGTAAGACTTGATATACATAAATAAAAATTTAAAATTAAAAGTTCTAAATGATTATTTCCGCAAAAAGTTCTAATATTGAAAAGAAAAGTTGTAGTTTTGATACAAAAATTAATCAACGTAACAATTGTGTTAATCAATCTAATTTAAAGTCTCCAATATCAGTTCAAATTGCATACAGAATGACGACATCAGCACATCAAAAGGAGATATTGATACAGTCCAACATTTCTCTTTTCTAGATTACTGATCACAGAGTTGTCGAAAGCAATCACAAGGCAATTGAACTTTTTAGACTAAGTGTCCTGAAATCTAAATAAAATATGTGAATAATTTAGTTCTATCTACAATATTTTGTAGGCCATTCTCCATATCTATTCCAAATTTCACATCTGAATGCAGTTCATCACTTCTCTAGATTTCTGGTGACGGATTACATAAGCAGTTACAAATTAAATAAGTGAGTTAGTATGGAAATTCTTCATTACATGGCCATCTTGCCATTCTTCAAATCCATTCCAAATTGCACAAAAAATGATTTAGGCCTGATAAGCATACTTAATCAAAATATCGATGTAGTCAATTATTACTAGATTCTCAGTCACAGGGATTCCCACCAACTAAAAGCAGATGAGCTAGCTAAACATGGTATCTTTGAAATATACATGGAATATCTAAATAATAAGGATCAACTGTTAGCATTATGTGAACACTTATTAAACTTTATTAATAATATCATATGCACTTTTATATTATCGGGTCGCAATCGTTACGGAATCTATGCCAAAAGATTGAATCTCCCATTTAATAAAGCCTGTCGCGGTTATGGAAGGGACAATGAAAGTGCCACACATCTGCTTTGTTGTTAGCGATGATTGCTTATATTAAGGGCTTATTTTTTTGAGGACCTTAGACAGCTCCAGCGCCATCATTTTAGTCTTTGGCGAAGGTTTAAAGTTTTGAGTTCTTATACAGCAACAAAATGCGCCAATTGACCCAAGTGGCCTAAGGATCGCGGATATAACCTAACTTAATATAGCATTGTAGTAAAATATATTACATGACGCTGCTACCATTATTACATTATGTTCTATAACAAAATATTATGGAATGCAGAAAATAAATGAAAGCTCTTAAATGTTTGATTAAAATTTTTAAATCAAATCTATTCATTGGGTCAATATACTACAATTTCTGATACTGTCCATATCCATGAACAGTGGCTTCGGAAATAACATATCTTCTAGTTTAATTATTAACACTTAACTAAAGTTTCCAAAGTTATTGATATTTCTATAACAGCATTCCATCAAAACTTCTTAAAACTACTTTCTTTTTATTTAAAGTTCACTTTAAATACAATTTGTAACACAATGGGTTAAGTGGATCCTTTGCGTCACCGACATAACCTAACCTATTGAATCATATGGAATCATGCTTATATATGTTCCTTTACTTAAAATTTTCGTTATGAAGTAATAGTTCTTTTAGTAAATTAATTAATTTTAAAACTTTAAAAAAATTGACTAAAATTTTAAATTAAATAAAATCTATTCACAAAACTTAATTTTCTTAAAAAAACACAAGTTCAAAACGATATAAGCATTTAAATAAAAATTATAGCCTAAATAATGTAAAATAGCTTTAAACTCTTTAATAAGACTTCAAAAAAAAGTAATTGCAAACATTAAAGGTTTATGGTTTAAAATTATATATAAGCTACAATAAATATATGCTCTAAACTGATATTATCGTGTTCATAAAAATCATTGCCAAATCCTTTCAATTACACTTTCAACACGAACATTAATTTCGAGCTTATTTAAATCCGTCGAGGACCTTTGCACAAAATTGCATGAAGAAATGAAATTGAAAAAAAAGAAAATAAATAAAAATAAAAAAATAAAAATGAAAACAAAACTTGAAGAGAAATTGTTTGAATGTTTGCCAAGAAATGAAATGCTTGAAATGTAGCAGGGGAGGGGGAGTGGAAGGATATCTGTAAACTAGCTGCTCTATGAATTTGTAAATAGTAATTTTGAAAGGAGCAGGAATTCACTTTTTTATACTTTAAGGTTAAATTTAAAAAATGACTTTATATATGAGATACTATTTTTATATACAAAAAAAAATATTTAATAGATAATTTTTTTTTCTTCCTTTTTAAGCAAAAATATTAATTGAAATATTTTTTAATTATTTTAATTACAGGTCTTTACCCAAATTGAGCAGTCAAGACGAAGAAGGGGGGGCAGGTCATGGTTATGGTGGCGGCCCACAACACTTTGAACCCATTCCTCACGATCATGATTTTTGCGAAAGAGTCGTTATAAATGTAAGTAGAAAAAATAATAAGAATAATTATTATTATTATTTAAGGTATTATAAGACTTGAATTATTTTGATTTCACTGCCAAAAACGTTAAAAACATTTACTTAAGTAATTAAATCAGACATATAAAATAAATTTGTTTTAACGTTAACTAGAAGGGTTCAAATAGTAATAAAGAAGAAACAACAAAAATTTGATACATTTATTGAAATTTTTATTGCAGCTCCTTAATAACTGTTCGAAATCTTTTTAATTTTATTTATTTTTATTTCTTTAATATTTTGAGATTTAAATTTTAGTTAGAGAATGTATAATATTTCACACTATTCACCTAAATGAATTTTGTATTTACAAACGAACTTTCCTGGTATACATGACGACATAGTTGTTCTTGCAAATTTTAGTTTTACTGTCACAGCTGCAAATCAGTTAGAAGAGAACCATTCTTTCCCGTGCACGTGTTTTACTCTTAAGTAAACCACTCTAGAATTATCTTGAGCTACTCTCTGAAATAAACATGAATGAGGGACTAAGGCCCCTGTTATATAAGACACGTCAAAATCAAAATTTTTGTTGCTTTTAATTCAAATTAAAACTGAAAGAGAAAACTAAGAGAAAAAAGGGCGGATTAAATTCAGTCATGAGAGAAGAGGCTATTTGTTCTTTGTCACTCAGTTAAAGCATTGTTGTATGTATGTATATATATATTTCCTTTAAAATTTAAGCATCAGAACCGTAAAGAGATGTATTCAGTTAGGGAGGGATGGCATCATGTGTGAAGGGGTGGCGTTTACGCAAACTTTCGAGAGGGTCTAGCTGAGACTGAACTATATGCTCGTGATTATGGAAACCTAAGTTGTAGAGAAGAATGAGGGGAGAAAGAGCAAGCTCTTCTTTAAGACAGTGGGCAAAGAATTTAGGAGACTGAGACTCTTAGCCTCAAGCAACACTGTTGGGAGGTGATCAGGCTTATAACCCTGCTTATATATATGTAAATCTTCTAGTTTATGGATCCCACCTGTATATTAATTTTTCGAAAGAATATATAGATATCAAAATACCACTCTACGAGAATTATTAACTATTGATTTGACTTAAATCGCTTTTTTGAAGTGGGAGGAAATACAGAAGTTCTCTTGTTTACTGTCGGTTCTTAGGGTGACAAATAGGTAAGACATTGCAACAAATTGTTCTTTAATTATTTGATTGATCAGTATCTTTAGCTGTATGAGTAGGTTCATAGTCTTTTCAAAAAATGACCTTTTTTATTCGTTGAGCTAAGTTTTTTCAGGAATATTTCCATTCAATAAAGATATATATATATGAATACATATTAATATGAACAATTTTAATTTCTTATATTTCAGGTAAGCGGGTTAAGGTTTGAAACACAATTAAGAACGTTAAATCAGTTTCCGGACACGTTACTAGGAGATCCAGCTCGGAGATTACGGTACTTTGACCCGCTTAGAAATGAATATTTTTTTGACCGTAGTCGACCGAGCTTCGATGCGATTTTATACTATTATCAAAGTGGTAAGTTATCGATAAATATATTCGAACTAATCTTTGTTGTTTCTTCCATTTCAGAGTAATATTTAATATCTATTAAAAATATATTAATTTAAATATATATAAAAAATTAATCACATATAATGTTTACTCTTCTTTCTCTTCCCTTTCCACACATGTTTAAACTAATATTTTTTCATTTGTTTATTTTTATGAAATTCTTCTCACTTTCCATTTAGGTGGTCGACTACGGAGACCGGTCAATGTCCCTTTAGACGTATTTAGTGAAGAAATAAAATTTTATGAATTAGGTGATCAAGCAATTAATAAATTCAGGTAAGAGTGTTGCCATATTTTTGACAAATGTAACACACAATTGGTTTATGATTTTTTTTTTTCAAGTAGAATTTGACTATTAAAAATAAAAACTAAAAAACTAAAAAAATAAGAAAAAAGAATATTAAATATATTTTTGCTGAAAACAGAATTGCAATAATAAATTCGCCTCCACTGGCTTATGGTGTTGTTTTTTTGTTATTGTTGTTGCTGTTTTTAGAATTTTTGTTGTAATGTAATATATACCGAATTCGATACAAAAACAAACAAAAAAAAACAATTTCAAATTTAAAAACAAAGCTAAAATTTTGTTAAAACACAGACATTAATCACTTGACCACCTGCTTAAAATTTTGTTTATACGGCAAGGGGGCGTTCTCGGCCGGCCCCGTGGCAAACAGCACAAAGTATTGAGCAGTTGAGAAAACAAAACATAACAAGCAAACAAAATGTACAACAACAAGAAAGGGAAAATAAATAAAATTGCTTTTAAACACTGTGGCAACTTGTTTAGAAAAATGCATGCTTGCGACTAAAATGCACTAAGATGGCAACACTGCAAAAATACATGCGTTTCGCTTTACATGGAGCAACTGAAGAGAGATCTCTAGAAGTGCAATCACTGGAACAAAGAAACTCAACACAACACACAATCTCATAATTTGTACCAAATAAACCAGATACAAAACCAGACACAGTTTATGCGTAGTGGAATGTCAATTATTTTGTTGCAAAGTATTTAGAAATGTTGATATCTATTAGTTATGATTTGCTTAGTTCTGATCATCTCAGTGTGGGTGATCAAGTGATTGGCTTAACTCTTGTAAAAGAACGAACAAAATTTGCTTTAAACTATGCTTTTGATATTTTTTGATAAATAAAACTTATTAACTTGAAAGTTGTGAAGTTGAATTTGTGATAATGTTTAAAAAAAAATAATTATTATATATTGTATTATTCTTTTTGTTATAATCTTTTGTTTTAAGTAATTAGAATTTTTCTACTCAAAACCACAGTTCAGTATAATTAATAATTTTTTTTTGGATTTTGTTTAGCTTATGCTGAACTGTAGTTTTAATTTTATAAAATTAATTTTTTGATATATCAATTAATGCATTTTGTACTTAATTCTTATTTCAATCCAACTAAACAGAGAGGATGAAGGCTTTATTAAAGAAGAAGAAAGACCCTTACCGGAAAATGAAAATCAAAGAAAAGTCTGGTTACTGTTTGAGTATCCAGAAAGTTCGCAAGCCGCCAGAGTCGTAGCCATAATTAGTGTATTTGTTATTCTGCTATCAATTGTTATATTTTGTCTAGAAACATTACCCGAATTTAAGCATTACAAGGTAAGCATATCATTTAATCTTAATTTGTCAATATATATATTATATATATATTGTTATATATAAAATATTTTTTATTTATATTGAAAAGTTTGCATATAATAATACTTTATTTTTGAGTGGAAGATAAAATACTTTATTCAAGACTCAAAGCACATTCACCAGAATTGTGTGATCACCGAGTTGTCATCCTATAAAATGAGTGATTTATCCAAGTTTATAGAAATATCAGGTTGCCTTAACTTTACCTAATGGGGAAGTAGTTTTTTGATTTGCTTATACGCTGACATCCACTCTGTGCATGTGCAAACGCTAATCCTGTGATACTACAATGGGCTATTATGTGATCCTAAGTGAGCTTTAGCAAAAAGGTCACTACTTGAACCTAACATTACCTATTGAGAGAGTCGTGCCTTCTGCGTTGCTCGTAAACTGACATCCATTCTGCACATATACAAAAGCTAATCCTGTGCTACTACAATAGTCCATTATATGAGATCAAGTGTGTTTGGGCACAAAATCACCACTCCAACCTAATCTAATTCAATCTCGTATGTTGTATATGAATTAAACAGCGACCACGTTTTCGTTGAATCTTATTTCTCTAAGACCGTTTTTACACTACTTCATGGAGTATCTATTTTTTTTAATTATCTGTGTCATATTTTTCTTACCCTTCGTCCAATTTCTTACCTTAATTTTGTTCTTTCCACTATAAGAAGTATGTGTCCCACTACTAAGATGTGTGTTTTTTTTTGTCGGAAAAACGTACAGCTGTAGGTATCACTACGTATATATATATATTATCAAGATTGCTTTTTTTAGTGCAGAGTATATCTTCTGTGAACTAAATAATCAGATTCCAATAAAAGCATCTAAAAATTTTGCTAATCTATTTTAAACATTAAAAAAACGTTAAACTTTTTATAATTATTATATGGACAATACAAGGTACGGCGAGTTAGGTAGTGTATTTTGCTAAACCTAGTTATCTTAACTGAGTCTTAGTCATAGAGTTAGATTAATACCATGTAATATATGAAGAAAGAAATTGTGTACAATATGGATTAGTTAACAAAATACATTTCAAATATTATAAGTCTTCATGGTATTCAGCTTTTCAAGATATAGGAACAACTTCTGATTTCTATTAATTTGATACGATTTTTGATAGTCAACAATTTTATGCTAAAACTACTAAAACAATTTTTAAACGCACTTTAATGGTTTTTTATCAATAAAATGTTTTTACCTGAACTAATTTATTAATTTATTTGCAAAATTGTCTCTTAAATGACTCTACTTATGCACCAATAGCTGGTAATATTCTGTCTCATACAAAACTACTTTTTAAATGTTTCTACTTTTCCACCGTATTATCTATTTTTCTGTATCGAATGTGGTTAACACTCCGACTGATCTTTGCGCTACTTACTTCTTCTACACCATTCGATGTGATGTACTTCTAACTTTTTTCGACTCTTCTTCTGAAACTCTTTCTATTAATATAATAATTTTATAAATTGCTTTAGATAAGACACGCATGAAGATTCCTAGATTTTCTAATTTATCTATTCTGACTACAAGTAATAGCATTTAATATAGATTGTGATATTTCGTTTATTATATCAGTATAATAAATAGATTAGTTATTATAATAGCGGTAGAAATCAAAGCAATTATAAAATCTGGTGTGTCTTAAATGGTATAATTCGGTGATAGTATTTAATTTAATTCTATATGATAGGATTTATCGTTATTTTAACATCGTTACTTAGTTTTTTAGCCGTTTCCTTAATAAAAAGTGGTCATGAGCTTTTGGGTATTTCATCTATCGGGAAATCCTTTTTAAGGAACTTCTTTTAAAACGTTAATTTTATAAAAATTGTATTGAAATCAAAAATATCAAATTATTTTTATAATTAATAATTATGTATACAGAAAAATATTTAAAATTTTGTTTCTTTTTATTATTAAAATTTCAAGGTGTTCAATACAACAACAAATGGCACAAAAATCGAGGAAGATGAGGTGCCTGATATTACAGATCCTTTCTTCCTTATAGAAACGTTATGTATTATTTGGTTTACATTTGAACTCACTGTCAGGTAAGCTATTAATAATTTAAGATAATTATAAAATATTAATAACATATAATACAAGACTTTATGAAAAAGAATATAATACATAAATAATAATTAAAAATGATTTAAAAATTATTGAAATATTAAATATTAATTATATATTATATGTTATGTATTATATAATATATTCATATTATTTTTTTAATTTGTTTGAACTTCTCAACAAAAATCTGTATACATTCTAATAAATTTTTTTTTATAGTAGAAGAGTAGCGAACTTTTATAAGGCCTTTGTCCAGCTTCTTTAAATAAAAGTTTTACGGTATAAGTTTATTTTTATTTCTTTCAATATAGGAACTTAATATAACATATGTGACTATATTAAAGTGCTCTATTATAGCTCCTTTTATACTGTTTAATATACAAATTCTATAAAGTCAAATTTATACTGTTAAATAAAAGTTAATTCATTAAAAATGATTTTTATATAAAGTAAATAGTTAATTGTAATTAAAACGATCGATATCCCAATCAAGCTCTCTTGTTGTGAAACTGTAAACTGGTATTATTTTAAAATATTTAACTTTTTATTTAATTAGTGAAGTATTAAAATATGTTTTCTAGTCAACAAAATAAGTAATAGATTCAATTATACACTGTCATAAAGTAAAACAGTAAGTAAAGCACTTTTGTTTGTCTAACATTCAGCTTTGACGTGATCCTAAAATTATTGCTCCATACTACTCTCTCTATAGTATACCCCTAAGCCATACTATTTTTTCGAATTGAATGGTTTTTCCTTTTGCTCTGGCCAAGATATCGTTGTTTTCAGTTTACAGTTTACAGTTCAACTCCCATTTGTAATCATAAAAAAATCATTATAATAAATGTTAATCTTATAATTATATCAAATATAAGTTAAGAAAAAAATGTTTGTGGAAATAAATTTTATTTATTTTATTAACATTATTAAATTAAATAATACTTAAACCTTAATTATACGAAAGAACTCAGGAAAAAAGTTTTTGTGTATATAAATTTTATTTATTTTTTATAATAATATTAAATTATATAATATTTTTAACTTAAATATATAAAACATAATTTAAGAATAATTTTTTTCTTTAGTTATATGAAAAATAAGTAAAAAAAAATAATTTATTCTTTAATATTAATTTTTATTCTTCATTACAACAAAAAAAGGTTCCTCGCATGTCCGAATAAGTTAAATTTCTGCAGGGATGTCATGAATGTTATCGACATAATCGCCATCATTCCGTACTTTATAACATTGGCGACTGTTGTTGCCGAAGAGGAGGATACGTTAAATCTTCCAAAAGCGCCAGTTAGTCCACAGGTATGTTCATCTTGTTTACCAATGCAATGTCTACATATAAATGTTGCCAATAATTTTATTTTAAATAAAAAATAATTAAAATTAAAAAAAAAATAAAATTAAAATATATATTTATATTGTTAACTAAATTCACATACATATATTAATAATATACATATATAACTATATATAAATATACCTATATATATATATATATATATAAATAATTTTTTTGCTCGTTTTTTAAATACTATTTATTGTTTTCTAACTTTTTTTATAAACTTTTTTGTTTAATGTTTTTTTATGTTTTAATGTAACAAGAAAATTTTTGGTTTACTTTAATGTTATTATTGTGTAAATGAAAAAATACCATAAATTGTAATTTTTAGGACAAGTCATCGAATCAGGCTATGTCCTTGGCAATATTACGAGTGATACGATTAGTTCGAGTATTTCGAATATTTAAGTTATCTAGGCATTCGAAGGGTTTACAAATTTTAGGACGAACTCTGAAAGCCTCAATGCGGGAATTAGGTTTACTTATATTTTTCTTATTTATAGGTAAGTTTCAGTCAAAAGACCACAACAAATACAAACAACAAATAATAAAATATGTGATACTCTAATACTACTTAAATCACTTAAAACCCAAAAACAAGTTAGACACGCATATATATTAAATATGTATATATATATATATATACAATTCCGTTCTATATATATATAAATAACAAAACAATAGATTTTTACAATTAAAAAACTAACAACAGTCTTACACGCACACAAACACTTCAAAAAAAGTAGAAAAAATGCTAAATAACAATAATTAAAATACATAAAAATTGGCTTGAAATTTACAAGAAAAATAAATTATTTTAAATTGAACAAAATAAAATATTTTAAAAATATATAAAAGTACATATCTAATGCCCTGCTTGGTAAATGAAAATACTGCAGAGGCGCAGCGCTTGTGTCGCAAATGTGGGGCTTATAAATCACAGCTCGGACCATAAAACTGCAAAAAGCACTGAAGCCACGTCGACTTTTTGCTTAAATAAATCAAAAGAGAAAATAATTATTTTTTTTGCACCAGAGATTTTTGGTGAAAATACTTTTTTTGTACTTTGCTAAAATTAAAAGTATGCTAAATATTATTTTAAAATTATTTAAAAAACAAAATTATTTTTATAATATTGCAGTATGAAAATTATGCTTCTTTTGTTTACTTTTCATATATACCATATATATAATATATGTATTTAATATATTAATAGATAAGAAAGTGCATATATATGCAGCAAAAAAAAAAACAAAAATAAAAAAATAAGTAATATATTTCAAAAGAAAAAAAAAAAGAAAAGTGAAAAGAGTATTAAAATTTGCACTTTTGAATAATTATTTTACCTACCCCGCCCTAAGTATATTATGTGTTATCCTCTCCTAAACTATGTTAGCTTTTAAATTTAAATATTTTTGCTTTTTAAAAGAGAAAACAACTTTAAAATAATAAAACAAATTTAAATTATTGTTTGTACTGTACCTTTAAAGTAAATTAGTTTATAGGTCGAAAAGTAAAGACTGTAACTTTTAAAATATACTGAATCAAAGAAATTATATATATATGTTTCTTTGTAAAAATTTTGTAGGTTTTATGTGTGTAAACGTACGCTAAAATGCATAATAAATTAGGTAAATAAATAAAAACATAGTTTTAGGCGCATATATACCACAATTTAGTACAAATTAGTTTTAAAATGTATTTATATAGGTGTCATTTAGCTAATGTTCCTAAAATGAATTTATTTAAATACAAAAAAAAGTAAAATCTACTCGAATTTTAGTCTATTGCTCCTGATATACTTCGACAGAGTAAATAATAAATTTATCACAATGCAGTCATTTGCAATTTTAAGCCAAATTTAGAATTGCGATTGTTGTCTTTAGATTTGCTAGGCGCGTTGCGAAAATAACTGAGTGTTCCTTATATATCTATTATATTCTATATAAAACTATTTGAATTATAATTTAGCTTTGGCTTAATGTAAATAAAACTTCGTTAATATTTTCTTTTTTTTTTTGTCTATAAGCGCACTAACCTTCTAAACTGAGTACAATTCTTCTCAAAAACTATTGAAAATCTACCAATGCATTTTTTGCCTCTGTATTTCCATTTCTGTACAATAAATACTATTTTATTTTATTTCAATTACTATCTAAATAAATCCTTTGTAATTATTACTACTACTTTAGGAATTTTCGTAACGCCTTTGAGAATCTAAATCAGGACTTCGTCATCAATTTAAATGCTTAAAATTGGACTTCTCTGCTTGTTTTTGCATATATATATTGTTAATTTGCAAATATATGTGTTTGTATATAAGCCCAGTTATTGTGGTTGCTTAGTTAAATTGTTGTTAAAATGGATTTTATTTTTTTAAAAAACAAAACCTTTAAATTTAAACGTAATCATTAACGTTGTTATTATCGTAAACGTAATCGCCATTAACGTCGTAATTATTTTTGTCGTAAACGTATTTATTTTCATTGCTAATACAGTAAACTTTTAAATAAAATACATAATCGTTTATATACAATAAATATTCCTACTAATTACTTAAATAATTAATTTGCACTAGTTGTACTAAAATTAGCTTAGTGTAGCCTCATTAAACTAACTAAAGCGTACTAATATAATATTTTTCTTTCAAGTTCACTAAATACTAATACTCTTTATACTACAATATATTATATCATATTACTCTTACTACTTCTATTAACTACTTAATTTAGCTCTATCGATATTAACTACTATTTTTAAGTTACTTTTGTTTAACTAACTCTAATAATTATCGTATTCGTTAGTATAGTTTGATTTGCCTTGCTGTAGATTTAGCTGTGTTTCGTAACTAATGAATTTACTAAAATATTTGTTTTTAACCAAGTATGATGTATTAAATTAGTTTAATAATACTTAAAATATATTTAAAAGTTTTCAGCTTAAATAAACGTTACCAAACAAAAAAAAAAAAATTGCGCTTGTTGAAGTGCAGAAGGTTCAGTATAAATTAAAAAAAATATATCAAAAATATATATTACCTAATAAAATTAGTATTAAAATAAATAATACAATTATATACATATACATTTGAATATATTATAATTAGAATAAAATATATTTTATATAATTTGCACTTTTATTTATATATATATAAATATTAAATAAACTCCTGTCCAATAAATCCTTTATATATAATTTTAACAATTTTTTATATGCACTGATTTATTTAAATTTTGAATTTTTTTCGGAAAATCTTAAGTAATGGCTAGAATTTTTTTAATAAAATTTTATCATATTTTTTTGTTTTATTTTATTATCTCATTTATTAATTTTTTAAGTAGTTCTTATTTATTTATTTTTTAAGTAGTTGGATTTTTAACTGTATACCTCGTGCTAATTTTTTAATAATTTTTTATATCAAACAGTTTTATTAAAGTACTTTATTCTTAAAGTAAAAATCCTAAACCTTTAAAAAAAAGTGATTGTGAAATTTATGAATCTATTTGTTAACTAACACTTAAGTGGCACTCTTAAGTCACTTTAACAAAGTTAAGTGACTTTTAAGTGTTTTGGTAATGCATAAATGAAACATCATAAAAAATGCTAGAATAAAAATCACATAGAAAAACTGAAAAATTTTAGATAAAATGTTTTTATAAGGCAATTACCACAATAAAATTTTTTTCTTTTTTTAAATAAAAATTATACACTGCGGAAACAAACTAACAAACTAAAGTGAAAATTCTAAAATTCTAATTCTTAAAATTCTAACTCTGAAAAATTGTTCAGCTTCTTATGAAGCTAATTTCCCAATCATCTATTATATATCTTTTGTTCCACTCTACTTATATCATGACTAAATTAAAATCAAAGTTTATTCTAATATGTAATCAGATGCCAGAAGTCTTACTTGAGACTTCTAAGCAATTTATGATGACAAAGAAACCCATCGAGTATTGTCGCCTTAATGTGTAAATCTAAAGCAATCTTTTGCTCCTCTTAAAATCTACCTTGGAAGAGCCTATCTTCTTAAACACAATAACAAAAGAACTTTAATCACATTTTATCTACTGTATGGAAGCAGGTCCAGTATTACGGTTTTAATAGATATTAGTCCAACTAAAATAATTTTTGTTGTGCTTATAGTCCATATAATGTCTCTGTTTCTAAAGAAGCCTGGTTTTTTTTGCTTTTGTAGCAAACTATAAAACTGCCAGGAGAATTTTAAACTGCAGTTGATCGTCAGCGATACGGGGTCCTTTAATATGGTATCTATCACTATTAAAGTCGCTAAATAAATTTGTAAAATTATTTAATTTTATAATCAAATCTCATTGACTTTTATCTCTTTTAATATTCTCAACATAGATGATTTTCATAGTTTCAAACATCTTTCTTACTTAATGCTATTTCAGCTTCATGTGGTACTTTACTTGTCGTTGGCATGTTTCTCAAAAATATATATAGATTAACCACTTTTAGAGAGAGAGAACTAAGTAAATAATTCTTCTTACCTCTTCATAATCCCACTGGTTTCGTCTTGATTATAATCTTCATATAGTAAATAATCTCTTATAGTAATCACTTAAAAGTTCAACCTTATTTAGAATTAAAAAATCTACATTTGTAATAGTATTTCTGATGAGTTCCTTATATTGTTCATACCATATTTCCACTTGCCTTAGTGTCTCTCTTTACCTTCAAATGTTTTCCTCATTAATGCCGCTAATGAGTATAATTTACCACACAAAGAGATTGCATATAAATGAGCTCATTATAAATCAATCAACTTATTTAATTGAATGTTTCTACAGAGCTTCTGTGCTTTTTAACTTACTTAAAAAAAGTAAGGAAATTTAGATCAAAATTGTCGAATGCAACCCTTAAAAATAAATTCCGTATAAACGAAATTACCAAACTTTGAAATATTTGTCATATGTTTTATATGTAAAATGTAAACAAACAATTTATGGAAACGATTACTGAGATCATTTCTGAAGATTTTGGTGAGCCGAATATATGCAATAGAAACTTCTTCTCAAAACCCATACTTATGGAAAATGTCCTGTCAATATCTCTACTGCAACAGAATACCTAATATGAATTCTCTAAATTATATATATAAATTATTAATTATTAATTTATAATATTTTAATATACTATTAAATTATATATTATGGGTCTAATTTATATAAAAAGTCTTATCTCTTCACAGAATATTTCATGATGTGCTTTTTATTCAATTTTATTAAAGAAATAACTATACAAATAAATAAATACATCTCTTATATATCTGTAAATATGCATACAAATCATATTTAATAAATTTATATATAACATATTTATATATATTTTTATATATATTATATAGTACATATAATAAGTTTCTAATTTCACAATCGCTTTCCTAACTTTTTTTTAAACCATTAAATAATTAATTTAAATAATTATCCCAAGCAGATATATTAAGTATAAACATTTTTAAATAAATTTAAAATTTTATTTACTTTTATTTAATTTTACAAATCAATATTATTACAATAATTATTATTTAAAAATTATATTATTTGGTACTAATTACAACTAATGACACATATTTTATATTTACTTTTCGATATGAGAAACAAGACAACGCAGTATATATGATTTAATCCTTTGAATATACAATATAAAACCGCATTTAAGTTAATAATACTTGAAACTCTGATTAATAATAAAAAAAAATTATAAAAACAGGCGTGGTACTGTTCTCATCGGCGGTATATTTTGCGGACGCTGGTTCCAAAATGTCTTTCTTCAAGTCAATACCAGATGCATTTTGGTGGGCAGTGGTTACCATGACTACTGTGGGATATGGTGATATGAGGTATAAACAACAACAATGATACATATATAAATAATTAAACTACAAAATATCATATTTTAAAAAATATTTAAATAATATTAAATAAAATTTCAATATGCAAACTTTTTTCAATGTACAAAAATATTTGAATATTGTGAAGTACTTACCCTGTACAAAGCTAGCTGTGTCTACTATATACTTCTCTTACAACTCGTACTCCTACTAAATACTTCCACTATGCGTACTCAAAGCTCGTTTTAAACCACATTTAATTTTGATACTACTTTTTTTATATAATACATATATTATATAGTATTTTGTTTTTATATAATTTATATAGTTTAATATTATTTTATCTGAAAAGACTGAAACATTTTGAAGCTGTACATTTTTCTTGTATTTTGTTAATATCTTGTCATTGTTGTTGTTTAAATGTTGTGTTTTTACTTTTCAATGGGTCAAGAAACCGATGTGTTATTTTACTACTTCTTGAGAACTTTAAAATTATTAAAGTTGTTGTAATTATTGCCAAAATATAATCCAAAAAAAAAAAGTATTATGTGTAAAATTTTTGTAAAAACTTTGAGATTGTTGTGATTTAATTGATGTACTCTAAAGCTAAATAATTTTAAGTGTTTTTAATATATTTATATATATAAATACATATACAAGTAATATAAATATTTATATGTACTTAATTTGAAGACTTTTTTAATGTTTTAGAAATTTTTTTTAATTGCATGCATACTTTTACTACCCAAGCAGAACAAAACTTTTTTTTTTTTGAATTACATTTAATTTTTTGTTAATTATTCAAATTTATTAGTTTTGAACAGAAGAAATTTACAGAAATTTTGTATCACCATATCTCCACACAAAATACCAAACCAAAATGCTTGACGAAAATATTTATTGCACACTTGAAAATGTTAAGGAAAAGGAAGTTCTTAGGTATCATATCAGAGGTGTGAAAAATCATACAGAAAATTTATTTATTTTTCATTTAAAATTATTATTTCTTTAGTTTGGAACATTTCTTTATTTATTATTTGTGATGTTTTTTGAAATTTTTAGTTTTATTTGAAACTATTTCGTTGCGTTTATATGCGGTGTGGTCAAATCTTTCTATTTTAAACCCCAACTGTATGAGAGAACCATACTTACCATTATATATTTACCTTTACAATATATAAATAGTAATGTATATTTAATATATTAATAGTACAATGATAATACATCAGTCAATAAGTCGTGTAACTGACACACGGATAGCGCTGCCATTGTCAAATCCATATGACGTTCATGAAGTACCAACCTTCAAAAGACTATGTGTAAAATTTCATGACATTAGTTAGTAGTAATCCGAAATAATATGATAACGGTTCAAGGAGTATAAGTCTCTCCGAAAAGATATTGTTTTAGTCCGTATACTACACATTAATATTTTACAGAGTCAGGCACATCATTCCGACGACGGTCAATTTTACGCTGCATAAAGCATTTCAGCTCCTCACCGCAAAAAAAAATAAGTTGAAGGGTATATGAGCGTTTCGGAATTACCCTCTCGGGTAATATGGGTTAAATTTCAAAAATGTACCTATATAAATTTTATATATACATATATATATATGTACAGATATAGGAACATAGTTGCTTACAGTTTTGTAAAACTTTAATCATTTATATATTAGCTATGACTCAACACCCATATCTTATAGGCACAATAGTTTTTATACCTGGTATTTATGCTATCAATTTATTAAAAAATAGTAGCTACTTCTTAGCGTTGTATCTTAACTTCACTTACGTGACGCGTTTGAAAATACTACATTCGGTAAAGCCTTACATGTTAACTCAGTGCTGTACCAAGGACTATACCAATGATGGTATAATCCAAAAAAAATGTTTGAAAACTAATGATTCCATTTTATTCCTTTTTAATTTGACTTCACTTCACTTTTAACTTCAATATATTTAAATGTTATTTATTTAAATTCCTTTTCAAATCTGATTCAATTAAATATATTTATATTAAAAATATTGTCAATATTCTTTGTATTGTTTCGAATGGACCATTTAATGTATATTTGCAAATAGTTTATATTCAATATTGAAGTCAGAAGTGGGGGCTCCAAAGAGAGACTCTATAAAGAAAGAGTTTTAAAACTCTTTCTTAACTGCTTCAAGCCTTTAATTCCAGAAAAATAAAATCGTTTACTTCTTTTGCTAAGTGTCTTATCAGTGGATAATATTTTCTAATATGATTATTGTGTTTGCTTTAATCATAGCTGATCGAAAAAGTGACCTTGTGTTTTTATTGAACCAATGTCATAGTCATAGAATAATGTCGTGGAGCAAAATTATTGTACCACTATTTCAATATTTTAAAGGATTTGACTTATTGCCAAAAGTTTAAGTAAATTTATCGATGCATTCCCGTCCTTATAATCTACAATAAAAATATAAATAAGTACAGATCACATTTCTTAAGTTAATTCTATTCATCCTAACGAGACTGCATACACCATTTTTATTGTATTAAAAGGAAGTTTGTCGAATATAGTCTACTAAACGATCCTTTCCGTTTAGTCTCCTTACTTCTGACACAAACATTTTCAGTCTTTCATCGTTATACTATGCAAGACACACACAAGTAGAATACACTTTTCTCTACTATACCATCGTTCTCCACTGACGTCTCCTTGTGTTTTTGATAGTAAGTTTCATGAGACATGCTCTTCAAAAATGTTCGTATGCCATTTACCGATACTCTTTTATTCTAAATAACTAATATCTTTACACCCATAACTTATTAATAAATAAATAGTGCTAAATAATGAAATAAAAGCGCTGGTTATTTGCTTTAAATTTGACTAGTTCAAACTTTTAAGCCTAGCACTTCTGATCCATCAATTATATAAATCTTATAAAACCAGTGAATAATGAGATTTGTCAATACTCGATACAGTTTCTGAATAAGTTCAAATTCAGAAAATTAAATATAATAATTTTTTAAGCTTTGTTAAAACAAAAAATAAAAAATATATTGGTCAGACCCAAAAAAATTCAGTTAATTATTTAAAAAAATTCTTTACTCTTAAAAAAAAATTTATTATATTTCTATACAACATATTTTTTTATTTCATAATATAATTTATTTTTAATTTTTCCTTCTTAATTTTTCTTATTAGTTTATTATAATTGGATATTCAATTCTTTATATCTCAAAAAATTTGCATTAATGAGTTGCGTTAGCAACAAATTATTTTTTGATTTCAGGCTTTTTCTATTTATCTCAAACTCAGTTCTACTTTATATCTAGAACTGATTTTTGTAATTTTTTTTAAGATTTCATTATTTTATTTTACTTTTTCAATAATTATATATTAAATATTATTTTCAATTTTAAATAGTTATTCAAAAATCTCATACGTCCGCAATAAATATATGTAGAATATTTAATTAATAGCGAAATGCATTGATTTTGTTCTTTTTAAACAACTGATTTTTCTGCTTGGGATAAATATTTAACAAAATATACTTAGTAAAATTTTCGTAAAATATAAATTTTTAATTTTAAATAAAAAGTAGGTTATATATTTTTTTTACATTTGAATTCCCCATTTAGTTTGCTTTAAAAATTTTTTGTTATTAACTTTTAGAAAATAATACTAACTGTATAAATCTATTTTAGTTCAACTAACGGTCTATTGCGGTTATACAAAAAAGTACAAATTTGGTAAAATAATGGTTAAAAAGATATTAAATGATATATATATAGCCAAAGTAAAATAACTAATAAAGCGACAACAAAAGCAAAAAAATATGTTAAGCAAATACTAGTACCGACCAACAAAATAAAAGACAAACACACACTTAACAATCTTTTATATATTAACAGTTTTAAATAAACTTTAAAAATAATTATTAAACTTAACACACTCTCTCACAAGCAAAATTTAACAAATACTATATTATCCTCTTTTACTAACAGCAATACTAATTCTAATATCCTGTACCCCATATATAGTCCTATCCTTGTTCTCTTCCTCTTCCTATATACATAATCTTTCCGAATATTAAACACTAATAAAAAAAATACTAAAACACCTTTTGAAGGCAACAGTTAAGCAAAGACCAAACCAACAAGAAATTTAATTTGTTCTAGGCGTTGTACTCTTCTCATCAGCGGTTTATTTTGCGGAAGCTGGAAGCGAAAATTCCTTCTTCAAGTCCATACCCGATGCATTTTGGTGGGCTGTCGTTACCATGACAACCGTTGGATATGGTGACATGACGTATGCAAAAACTAATTACTTTCACTTAAAGAATTTTTATTACGTTTTTCATTTTGTTACGACTTTCTTTTTAACAAAACAAAAGCGAAAAAAATTTCAAAAAATTATTTCAAAAATTAAAACACGAAAAATATTTTTAAACCCAAACATTTTTTTTCAATTTTGTTTTGTTATTTCTGTTTTAATGTAAACTTTTAAAAGTTTTGTTTCCAAAAAAAAGCATATATATATTTTAACATTAATTATTTAATCACTTACCAGTCAACCAATCAATCAATCAATCAATCAATCATTTAATCTATCAATCAAATAGCATTAAATAGCAACAATTCAGACAAGCATCACAATATTTACATTCTCCAAGCAATCGACATTTCAGTGCACCTCAAATCACTTCAAATCACTTTGAAATCTTAAATTTATTTTAAATTCAAATCAATTCATTTATGCGACACCAACTTAAGTTTCAATTAAAAATCTAAATTATTCTATGAATTTCACACAATATCATCAGCATTTGTCACTTCATCCGCACCAAACAATCACTTCCACTAACAGTTTTGCATCTCAAAATTACTGAATAGCTGCGCGCGCTCTAAATTTGCCTACATTTTTTGCATATGTACAGGCTTTTTGTAAATACACTCTATGCCACATAGTACATACTATCTGAACACAGACTGACAATTATATATTTATAAAAATTATGTACAATTGTATACTTATTTATTTACCATAAAAAATGTGTTAAATTTCATGAAATACTACAATCGCATAACCAACCTCTAATTACCGACCTCTTTTATGTTATTATAATTATTGTATACGGGGACCAAGAGATCTATTATGAACTTAGAGTAACATATTTCTCGAAGCCCAACGTACACCATTAATTCTAGATTTATACCCATATAACAGAAGTTTATTTCTTAATTTTCTTAATCTGATGTGAGATACCCACCTAGATTGTCATTCCTTTATGTAACAGTATTGCGGAAATTCCTATGGCTTTTGGGGTCTTACATTTAAGGTCTTACTTAGAGTAACATATTTCTTGCAGCCCAACTTTCACCAGAAATTGTATTATGGAACCTATATTTCAGAAGTTCATTTATTCAAGTGACAAGAGTTGCCCACCTAGCTTGACATTTGTATCGGGCAAACAGTATCGGGCAAACTCCTAGGTCTTTTGAGGACTTGAATTTAAGGTGTCAGTTTATCGTAAGTAAAACACTAACCATAAAAATTAATAAAGTTTTAAATACTCAAATTAGATAGTTACCGAACTACTTTGTTTTTAAATAATTAGCTGAGATTGCAGCAATATCCACTTGTTAGAGAAATCTATATTTTTATTATTATTCCTGAGAACATAATTATCTTAAGACTTTTATATTTGTTCTACTTTATCAAAAAATATATAGGATTACAAAAAACAGTAACTGGCTTGGTTACATTGGCGTAAAATAATTTCTTATTGTCTATTTTAATGAATATAATTCTATATGTTTGTTACTATCTGAATCCTATTTTTGCGTACTCCTTATATCTAATTTTGAGTAGTCCTCTTAACATGTAATACAAGCTATCTGTTATTTTGAATTACAGTAAAAAATAAATGATGTATCTAAATTATATTAAAATATTTTTACTATCTACTTAACTGCAAATAAAGAATATATAAAATCTTTATATATACTTTTTAATATTCAACTTACTAGGTTTTTCATACTGTCTTTTGATCTAAACCCCAAGTTTCCGCCTCAAAAAAAAGCATAGGATTACCAAAAATAGCAAACTTCAAGTTTAGGTTGTCTATTTTACTGTAAATATATGTTTTATATATATTATGTGAATTTTTGTTTTGATACCAGGTCTTACTAAATATTCTGGTTTTTAAGTGAATCTGAAACCTATTTAAAATTTACAGATACATTAATTTGTTAATATATAGTAATATGTAGATTTAGTTTACATTCAAATATCTTTAATTATCTACTTCCTAAATAGAGAACAAAGAATAATGGCAAATAAATATTTGTAGTATATATTTTGAGAATTAAAAGACTAAAGAAGAATAAGACGGATTGAAAAAACTTTTCTTAGGATTTCTTTGAATTTATGTTTCAATGGTTGAAGTCCAACCATATTGAATATTTTACAAATTTTATGTATATATTAAGAGTGATAAATAAGTTTATATCAAAATATGTGATATATTACCGTAGTAGCGCGTTAAAGGCATTAAAAATACAAGTTTTTTTTTATTAAACATTAGATATTTTAATGCCGCTTAAAATAAATATAGATTGGATATAGTAGAATACATACTTCTTCTACTTTATAGACAATTTCTCCGCTAAAACCTTATCTATCAAAATCGAAAATTGTCGTTCGCTTGCTTCAGGACTTATAGAGCAAATAGACGGTTAACAATATAGAAATAAATTGAATAAAATGAAATAAATTGAATTTTATTTGCATCCTAATAATAAGACCAGAGCAGCCTAATGAAAATTTTAACTTTAACAATAAAACGTACTGGTCAAAACTTCATTATTAATAGGTATTATGTCGAAATAAGTTGACTTCCCTTTTATGCTACTTCTTTGATAATAAGGATTAAAAGTAATAAAATAAACAAACTATAGTATCTTATACTCTGATACATATATATTTATCACCAATAGGAAGTTTTCCCGATTTAAAACTAATTATATTTGTATATATATTATAAATATATTTATTATAGAAACCACTGAACTAGACATCACCGAATTTCTTTTTATATTTTAAACATACACAAACAACTCAACCTAATCAAATTTAAAATTTTCTATTCAAAATTAAAAAATTGTTTATTTGATATCACTGAGTTATGATTCAACGGATATAAATTATTACAAGATTGGACTTTAAAATAATTGTTAAACCTAAAACTCAAACATTTAAACTAATTACAAAAAACATTAATTAAACCCGCATTGACCTAAAATTTATTGGATCTCAAGAAAGAAAGTTTCCAAAAAAATTGCATTTCATTATTTTCTACTCTGCATGCGGCATGTTAAAATTGTAAATGCTTTATGTTATAATTGACAAAAATATGTTTTTTTAAATTGGCTTGAAACATAAAAAAATTGAGGATATATAAAACTTTTTTTTTTGCTAAAATATTTTCTAAATTGTTTAAGACTGCAACAATTTCACTAACTCATTCAAAAAACAAACAACTTTTTAACCATATACAATACATATCCATATAAACATGCGATACCATACCATACTTATTATCACTTTCAATAGAACTCATTTATTTTATGACAGATTATTATATACATCAGAATATATCAGTACATAGTTTTTATTTTAGTTTCTACATAAAAATCAGTTTAACTCCAGTACAACACATTACCTCGGGAACCACATATAATGCAATTTCATTTCAATTTATAATAAAATCATTTCGTTTTCATTTTTGAGTTATAATGTATAGGAGTGCAACTCCATGGATCACACAAATGCTCCCAGCACTTGCTTCATAAGCACTTTCTTATTAGTTCACCTAGTATTTTTATAATAAATAGTTTTATATAAGACTATTAATCCATATATGACATTTAACATCAATTAACATACATTAACTCAATGAATTTTTATACATTTAATAAATTTAAATAATGTTTTTATATTTTTTCTTGTTCTTAAGCTTAATTTCACTGCTTTAACTTTATAACAATAGTGTTTATTTTAAAATTTTTAATTTAGCAATTTATAAAATACGATTATATATACAAACTTTGTACACATGGATATAGTTAAATACACACACACATATATATATACGTATATATAAATAGTGATACGAATTTACAATATAATAGCTAGATATATATATATATATAAGACATTAATCACATATGAAAACACTTTCAAATAATATATTTTTAAACTTATCTCACATTAAAAATACACACATACACACTATATATAATAGTAAATATTTTTAATAATTTTTCGTCTCTCACATCCAGAACATCACATTGCTTCACTTTCTCTCTAATTCACGCTCGTTCACTTTCACTAACTGTTTCCTCCAACTTTTTAATGTTACGCGCGCTCTATAAATCCTCTCTTTACTTTCATGCTCTCTTAACCAAGTACTTCCCTATAACAATGTACTATTTTATTATAGTAAATTTACTAACAATATAATTTTTGTACAATTCCCATAATATATATATAAATATTTATACATATATATCAATGATATAATATAATAATTTTTTTCGTTATCTACATGTTTTGTACGTATCCTCTTTTTTTTAATATATTGTATATTAAAATTTTTATTAAAAAAAAAAAAAAACAAATAATAATAATAAGCGAAAATTTTCAAAATTTTGACTTCATGATCTATTTTATATTTGTTTTTCATTTTATTAATCGTTCGTTCGTTCGTTCGCTCGTTCGTTAAACATCGTACTTCATCCTAACAAAAACAAAAACAAAAAACTTTAAAAAAAAAATTTAATAAAATTTTAAATGAAAATCGTCAAAACCCCAAATACAACGTAAATGCCGAAAACACAAAAAAAAAATATATATAATATGAAAAACCAAAAAATATATATTAAAAATATACAGACCTGTCGGCGTCTGGGGTAAAATCGTGGGATCACTGTGTGCCATTGCTGGTGTCCTGACAATCGCTCTCCCGGTACCAGTTATCGTCAGTAATTTCAATTACTTCTATCACCGCGAAACGGATCAAGAGGAGATGCAGAGCCAAAACTTTAATCATGTTACTAGTTGTCCATATTTACCTGGTACATTAGGTAAGATTGATTTGATTACTTCTTCTACTAAGCCATACGTGTAAATTTATATACCATATATGTTTATGTAAATTTGCTAGTTTATATAAAAATGTACATACACCTATTATAAATTCTATTTAAGTTCTACTAATATAAGATCACAAGTTATCATGCACATTCTCTAACTCTTCCTTATGTGTCTTATTTCTTTTTTTTCGCTCTTCTCTTTTCATCGAAATTGCTTGTTCATGTTTTTACAACACTTACAAGTAGGTCAACATTTAAAGAAATCATCGTTATCTGAATCCTCATCGGATATGATGGATTTAGATGATGGTGTTGAGTCGACGCCAGGATTGACTGATACCCATCCTGGTCGTTCGGTTGCTCCATTTTTAGGAGCACAACAGCAGCAAATGCAGCAGCAGCAAACAATTGATAAGCAACAGCAACAGCAGCAGCAGCAACAAATACAGTTGCAGCAACAGCAACAAAATGGCTATAAGCAATCTCCAATGAGTGTTCCCGGCGGTAATAGCCTAACATTAAGGCATAATAATGCTTTAGCCGTTAGTATCGAAACCGACGTTTGACTACTGGGTAAGTGAGTTTAAAATATTTTCTAAATTTCTGAAGTGAAAGCAATGAAGTCCATAAAAGTGCTTAGACCCAGACCTTTAAAAGTTAATGTAATTCTATATACTTGCTAATGAGTTATTATTTATAGAATACTCATAAACGCATTAAAATATTATTATGAAATGAATATTATTTAAAAAAATACTAATTTATATATGAATAATATGATGTACGACTAATAAATACTAGGTAGTTTATTTCAAAATATCAGGGATTCAACAGGCAAAAAAATAAATTAAATTATAATGTAGGGAAGTGTCATTACTTAATTCAAAGTATACCGTACATACCCCACATTAAGCAGATAATTCTGTAGTCCTCGAAATGTATGAAATTCCGAGACGCAGAGAAGGTTTATTCCCAATATTTCTTGATGTTCGTGGTCAGTAGGTCATAAGTACAGTAATTCGGCAGGAGATCTTTACTCTAAAGAACTAGAGAAATCGCTGTGCAGAAAAAGTTCATTATCTAAATTGTGTTGTCGTAAATACCACAAGTGATTTTTTAGTCCAAGAAACGAAACAGATTACTATGGAAATATCATTACTTAACATACAATATATAGCAAATACCACAAATCCAGAAATTGACACAATCATAGAAACCTATGATAACTTAAAATAAGGAAGATTCATTTTCGATATTATCTGTTGAACAGTATATTATAAATACTATACTTTAGAACGATTAAAATCGGAAGACTGGAAAAATTTATTTACAACATTACTTTACATACAGTGTGTTAAAGACAAGCCTGAAATGATAATATTTAAAAATAATAGTATTTTATTATTATATAATAATAATTTAAAATAATGATTTAATATTATTATTATTTATGTTATAATTACTTTAACAAGCATTATACTTACAGTTTTTTTTACACTCATATAAATATATATCACTGATACTTTCAAAGTCTTTGGAGTTAATTTCAGAAATTTAATTTTAGTCCTACTTAAGTCTCATATTCCCCTATAAATAGTTAAGCGACTACTTATTTCTTAAGGCTTACAATACTAAATACAAGACACTCAAGTCATCTGTAATTTCCCAAATAACATAGCTTACATTATATGCAGGCTATCAATCAGATCTTGGGAGCTCATTAAAAGACGCCACTTACTACAGTTCTCTTTGATCACTTATAAAAGAATGCACGCAGCCCAACTGGGTATTCCTTTTACTACTCACTTTTACAGTGAGTTCCTCAAGGTTTCTAAAAAACTTACAAGAAAAACAAGCAATAAAACACTTTCTCTGTGAATCCCCGGCTCTGCTCTCCAGAAGAAATTATTTAAACTCAAGAGAATGGATTAGGTTTATGTTTTTTATTTACCTATTAAGATTTTTTGCCTGAAATCTGGTGGTAAAGCGGAATAAAATCCTTCAAATTTCTTATGCTGAAATCAATAATTCAATATTCTTTACCTTATCCACTTACTCCAATAATGACTGTACGATATAAGTCTTAAAACTAAAGAAATAAAACACTATGATATAGGTTTAATACTACAATTCATAGAGGAGTTAGACTTGGAGAAATACACTATATCCATAAGAGGGACACAATAGATCTCTAGGTCGCAATGTATATTCCCTCAATATACAGAAGAAGAGTCAGAAATGTGTCTCTAGTTTTAATGAATTTGTAAGAAATATTTTAAGTCAATTTCTGCTGTTTAATTGTGGAGTATATAAACTTCAGAAAAAAAAATTAAATATTTAATATCTTTAATTTTTTTTCAAAAAAGTAAAAAAGACGATACGTGCTCTAATTTGGCCTTGTGAAATGTTACGTTGGATGCCAGAAACGACTACAAATGCTGTTTGAATTTAAGTTTAAGTAGAACAAATAAAAACAAATTAACAATTTAAAGATATTTAAAAAAAATTAAAATAATTAAATTTAAATACAAAAAAAAAACATCGAAAATGCAAACTAGCAACAAAAAAATTAAGGCAAAATTCAACAACAAAAAAAAATCAAAAAAAAAAATATAAAAATTGTAATTATGTGAAAAAATATTATAAACAATTAAAAATGAAAAAGAATATTAAACGTGCCGTTCATAAATAAATAAATAAAAAATGTTATTGTTATAAATGAAATGCTATTATAAATTTAATTCAACTAAAATAAAATTTCAAAGTATATACAAAAATTCAGAACTCAGAAAACACTTTGAAATTAAAAATTCTGCAAAAGATTGCCACTTTGAGAAAAATTATTATAAAAGAGTTTTTACTAAAAATAATTTTCAAGTTTGATTATAAAAATTAACTATTTTTAAACAAATTTAATAAAATGTAAATTTTAATTTTTATAAATAAAAATTTTTTATAATCAGATTTATATACATAAAATGGATATACCTATATTTAAAAATTTATATATTTATATTTGTATATTTATATGTATAAATTTTATATATATACTGATTTGTACTTTATATATGTAAAATCGATATGTATATATATTTATGTTTGTATATTTATATATATAAATTTTAAATATATACTGATTCGTGCTTTATATATATAAAATGGATATGTATAAATATATTTATATTAGCATATATATATAAACGTTTATCTATACATATTAATTTTATATATGTACTGATTCATACTTTAATTATTTTATTTAATTTAATTTTTAAGGTGGCAATCTCATTCGTAAATATGGCAAAATTATTATTATATTTAAACACAGAAAAGCAAAAATTCCTATTACTTCAAGAAAATAAAAAAAAATTACTGATATATATAAATGAAATACAGGCCGTAATAAAAAATTAACAAAAAGCAAAGAAAATTAGTAAGAAATTTAGGCATGAAATGAATGGATAGTTTTTGCATAAAAAAATTAAATAAATTTAAATAACAGAACGCCTTTTGAAATAATTCTATGAAAATAAATAAATATTTAAAAAATAATTTAATTAAGAAAAATATATAAAAAGCATTAAACACTGTCAGCATTCAGCATAAATAAATAAAAATATCATTAATTAAAACGAATAAATTATTAGGAAAACTGCAAGCTAAGCTAAAATATTTAGTTTGATACTAAAGTAAAAAAACTTAATTAAAACTGCAACAAATTTTAGCATAAAATGTTTAATTAACTAATATCAAAAGAAAAGCATTTGTATTAGAGAAACAGCAACAAATTACAGTACTCTTACCTATATAGACTACTAGATTACTAGTAGGAAGCAAATGAATGAACACGTCTTCAGAATAACATCCAATCTTTAGCAAAAGTAAAAAAACTAATATCTGATATAAAACATAGTAAAAAAAATTTTTTTAAAAACAAAACAGACAAACAACAGATTAAAATTAAAATAATAATTATCTAATATTCAAAAAAAAATTATAAATGTATTAAATCATTAATTATTTTAAACCCAAATTAAGTGCTTGTAACTTCAAACTAACATATTAAAATCTCTAAAAACTATTTAAACCATTTGTTAGAAAATGTATTTTTAAAAGTAAAAATATTTAACATTTTACTTCTGCTTTTAAACATTCTAATTTTTAATTTTAAAGTAAAAACAAACGATTTTTTTAATGCATAATTTATTTTTCATTTACAATAGAACAATTTAAATAAATTAAAAAAATAATAATATATTGAACTGTGTATATTCAAAAAAAAAAAAACTGCCGTCAAAAAGAAAATTATTTCTTGTTAATAATAGTTTATTCAATAAATCCAATAAAAACTATAAAATGTATCTGTAAAATATAATAATATAATTGTTCACCTAAAAATAAATTATGCATACACGTACACACAACAAATGGGAACCTATGTAAATAGATAAATATTTAAATACAAAACAGAAATATGTATATAAAATTTATTAATATAAATATGCTATCAATTGTAAGCATTGAAATATCACTTCTTCTACTTCTTTGGCAAATCCACTAAAGTTGATCTTTGACCTCTTTTACAACACTACAGTTTTTAAAATTCATCAAAATTTCCACTAGCTTAAGATTAAAAATTATTTCTTCCTCGTTTTTCATAACATCAAAATTTCTACTGAAAGATTATTATTTCTTTTTCTACTTCTTTTAAATTTCCTCTTTCATACCAATTTTTTCAGTAGTCTTTACGATTTCTCACGACTATTTCGCTGTCATTGATATCAAATAATTTCCAAACATGCTTCCCACTGGCTTAAGGGTACGAATTATTTCTTCTTCTTTGTTGCTAAAATCGAGCTTTGCCCTCTCTTTCATTACAATTTCTCCAATATTTACGATTTCTCAGGACTGCTTTATTGTCATTGATATCAAATAGTTTCCAAAAAATTCTCATTTCGACAAGTTTTCCACTGGCTTTGAAAGTTAGAATTATTTCTTCTTCTTCTTTAAACCTACAGATAAAGTGATGCCTTGACCTTCCTCACATGACTTCTTCAATCTTTACGATTTCTCGCAACTGCTTCACAGTATTTTAAAAGCAAGTAATTTGGAAGCACTTTTCATTACATCAAGCTCTATAAAGCCCGTTACAATGCCCTTTTTTGTACAGAAAAGGAATTCAATTAAAATTCTTTTTAATGCTATTACTGAACTGGTTCACAATTAATATGTATATCACAAAATTATAGAAATTACATATTATTGAAATAGATTGGACTTCACTCACTTATAAATTTCATGAGCACTTCCAAACGGAATATTTATTAACTACATTCAAATTCTACATTCAGCATGGATTCCAATAATTACTTAATGATTATATGTCGCCGATTACCTTTATTTATTCATTTTCCTCATTTCTCAATATTTATATTATAAAGGAAAATAAAAAGCTTCTATACAATTTAAAATAATTCCGAGTCTATAGATATGGAATTCTTTTTTAAATATTATCGTTAATATATCATTGTTCTTCCTTTGAATAGAAGAAACAAGAAACAACAAAAAAAGAAGAACTTCTGAATGGAAAAAACAAGGCTTCATTTCTTTTTAACTTCAAATATAATATTTTTATAAATTACCAATGTTCCTCGATACACTGGATACACTATAATTCAACAGATAAAAACTGGCTCCTACAACAATTTTTGTAAAATTTAGTCGATTTTTACAATTCAAATGATCTATTGCTTCTCAGAAGGGTAAAAAAATTGAGTAAACCAATCCATACATAGTTTTTTTCTTATGTTTATGATCTGTACTTACAACACACTCAGAAAACTAATCACAATACATGTAAACGAATTTTCAATCCGCACAAATCATCTAGTGTGGCCTAACTTAATTAATTACCCGATCAAATCCTCAAAAATAAATTTATTTTGTACAGAATTCATTTGAATGTACAAAACTTGGATTGGCTTATAGACTTATAGTAAAATTTGTTTATGACTCTACAGTGATCAAGAAACATATTTTACCAATTGATAATAAAATTACGCCAATAAGAAACCTAATGTTCTACACTCAGAAGGATTCATGTCATTTTTTGTTGGGATCAGTTATTAGCACAAAAGATATGCTTTGATCGTAGTGCTTCGACTCTTTGTCAGCCGGGAAACAGATTATTCACTACTCTATTTTTATTCAATTCCCCTTACTTCAATATTACATGATTGAAACTTTAATAATATATTTCAATGCTTATGAGAGAGAGAGCGTTTTTCCAGAAACGAACTAGAAACTTTCTGCTATTAATATTAATATTTAATATTATAATTATATGTATAATTAAAAAATGTTTTAAGTTTAATTGATGAATAAGGGACACATAATAGCTTCTGAAAACTATAGTGTTAATTTATTTCAATGTAACGCTTATAGTACTACAATAATATTAAATACCTGTTCATGTTATTTCTTGATTTAATTATAAATTTTTTATTTCATTTATACAAATATTTATTATTTTCTTAAAATTATTTTTATTAAAATATATTAAATATTTTAATTGGACTTAAATTAATACAATACCTATGCAATCTAAAACCCATTACTCAGAGTTTTACTTAATTCTCACACTATATCATATTTTATTTTCAATACACTAAACCCTATAAAAATAAAAAATTATAAATTCTGTAAGCCCAGTACAATTCTTAGCTTTATCCCCCCGATTGAAACCAGTAAAATAAAGTACAAATCTTCAATGAAAACTCATACATTAAAATGAAAATTTAATTAAAAATTAAATTTATAAATAAAAATTAATAACCACTCGAGTTAGCAAGAGGAAATAATAATGTGACTGTAAATTTAATATATAAAAATAAAGAATTTATTTAAATTAAATTATTTTAAATTAAATTTAATCCATTCACTCTTCAAAATTTTCTTATAAAATATCTTTGCTTCAATAAACTCAAGAAAAATATGTCTTAATAAAATTATTAAAATAATAAACTTTTGTTCGTTATAAATTTTAAAAATATTTTCGCTTTTTCTAAATTATTATTTTCAATATTTTACTTAATAAAAATGAAAATTAAATTTTTAAAAAAAAGTTGACTGAGAAATGCAATTTTTATTTGCATATTGTAAAAAAAATATATCAAAATATTTATTGTACATAAATCTAAAAATATTTCTAGTTGAATATAAAAACAAAAATTATTTATTAACTAAAAACATATGTAATATGCTTATAATAAATGAAAATAATAATTATAAATGAAATTCATTAAGTATATTTAACAGCTTTGAAAACCGTCCACGCACACACAAACAATATTTTTTAAACTTTAAATAAATTTTATTTATTCTTTTAGATATTTAAAATATTTTTAGATTAGATAAAGCTTATTTAACTATTAAAAATATGTTGTAATTCAAATATAAACAACTTTTTTTATCATGTGGAATAATTTAACGAAC